AGCCTGTGTGGTCCTGGCTCGTGCTCCTGTCCTGGCCTCTGCAACCTTTCTAGTCTGGCCTCAGCTCCCTTTTCCAGCCTCTACCTTCCCACTGCCTTGGACCCCACATCCAGCTACCCTTAGGTCTTCACAGTTCCCAGAAAGCCTTAAGCTCTCTCTTTCAAGCCCAGGGAGGCCCTGCTGGCCTCCCCAGGTAGAATAAACCTTCAGCTGTCCTGTGGCTCCATGCAGCCTGCTTCACTGTCTGCTGATTATCTACTGAGCATCTGTCACTGCTGCTGGTCTGGGAGCACCTCAAGGACATGGACGTGTGTCCTTTTCATCTTTCTACCCCAGCCCCTAACCACATGACACAACAAGGGCAACACCCAGGGAAGGGCGCTGAAGGATCGCCTGAACAGCTGCCCCTCTTCTCACAAAGCAACACGAGTAAACACAAAATGTCAGGACCTTTAGGCAGAGCAGAGAAGAGCCTACATGACCCGAAACCCCATAGGGTGGGGAAGGGCTTGGGGAGTGGGTCTAGCTACTAATACAGCTGTCTTTGGTTTCTCAGTTGGATTAGGTCCTTTATGAGGATTGCTTTATGAGCGCCTGAGGGAGGGAGGGGTCCGAACAGGATTCAGACAATCACAGCTTCCTACTTGTAACACATGGCAGCAGCATCCACCTTGTTCTTGAGGCCCTAGGGTTATTGTAGGGAAGCCTTGCATTGCCTTTGGTTGGCAGATGGGCAGGTAAGCAGCCCTGGGCTGGCTGTGGCTCCTCTCATCTCCCCTTATTCCTCTTTGCCTTTGGTGATCAAGCCATACTCCCCCATGGCTGCCATTAATGGTCAGGGGCAGGAAGGAGGGGCAGAGGGCACGGCATGGGTCTTGGGTTCAGACAGACCTGGGTTTGGGCTCCACCTCTGTCACCTCCTGGCTGTGTGATCCTGGGCAAGCTGCTTAAATGCTGAGCCTCTGTTTCCTTGTTCATGAAATGAAGGTCATATCAAGAATTAGCTACCTTGAACTGAATTGTTTCCCCTCCAAAAACGTTGCATGATTTTTGTTGCAATGACAGGGCACGTTGAAGCCCTAACCCCTGAAGTGATGGTATTTGGAGATGAGGCCTTTGGGAGGTTACTGGCGTTAGTGGAGGTCATCGGGGCGGCCTCATGGTGGGATGAGTGTATTGCTCTCTTGAACTTTTCCTCTCTGCCATGTACAGACAGTGGGAAACAGGCCATCTGCAGAAGGAAGGCCATCTGCAGACAACGAATCCACTGGCACTTTGATTTTGGATTTCCAGGTTGCAGAAAGACGGGAAAATAAATGTCCATTGCTGAAGACCCCAGCTCCCATTCCCCCAGGCACTGGCACATCACACTCTACCAACTTCCTAATTTGCTACCATGTTGGCCCAGCCAGGCCTTTGTGTATGTGCTTCAGCTCCCCACCTCCCTCTGACACCCGTGGAAATCCTACATATCCCTCAAAACTCAACTCAAATACCACTTCCTCCAGGTTGCCATCCCTGATCCCCAGAGTTGGACACATTGTAGACTTAGCAATGCTTGCTGAATGAATGAGTGAGTAACGGGATTGCTCCTTCCTCATGTTCACGATCAGTTCTTGAACCCATATAATTCTATGCCAGGTGCAAGTTTCTCATATCCACAAACCATGAGTGCAAAGGTTCTCCCCACTCTCCGCTGGATGTTTTGATGAACTTTCAAGATGAAACAAGAGTCCAAATTTCCAGTCCTCTTTCTAAGACAGATATGGACAACCCGGATCCCCATCTCAGGATGACATCATAATGACAAAATCAAAGATTACTGACTGCTGCTGGTGCCTCTGGAAGCCATCTAGGCCCCCGGTTTTTAAACTGTTTTTAGCAACAGAACTCAAAACTGTCAGAGAATTAACAGCATTTTTTAAAAACAGAACTCCTATTCACAATTGCTACAAAGAGAATAAAATACCTATGAATACAGCTAACAAAGGATGTGAAGGACCTCTTCAAGGAGAACTACAAACCACTGCTCAAGGAATAAAAGAGGACACAAACAGATGGCAAAACATTTCATGCTCATGGTTAGAAAGAATCAATATCATGAAAATGGTCATACTGGCCCAAAGTAATTTATAGATTCAATGCTATCTCATCAAGCTACCATTGACCTTTTTCACAGAACTGGAAAAAACCACTTTAAACTTCATATGGAACCAAAAGAGAGCCCACATAGCCAAGACAATCCTAAGCAAAAAGAACAAAGCTGGAGGCATCATGCTACCTGACTTCAAACTATACTATAAGGCTACAGTAATCAAAACAGCATGGTGCTGGTACCAAAACAGAGATATAGACCAATGGAACGGAACAGAGGCCTCAGAAATAATACCACACATCTACAACCATCTGATCTTTGACAAACCTGACAAAAACAAGCAATGGGGAAAGGATTCCCTGTTTAACAAATGGTGTAGGGAAACCTGGCTAGCCATGTGCAGAAAGCTGAAACTGGACCCACTCCTGACACCTTACCCTAAAATCAACTCCGGATGTTGATTTTAGATTTAGACATAAGACATAACACCATAAAAACCCTGGAAGATCACCTAGGCAATACCATTCAGGACATAGGCATAGGCAAGAACTTCATGACTAAAACACCAAAAGCATTGGCAACAAAAGCCAAAATAAACAAATAGAATCTATTTAAACTTAAGAATTTTGGCACAGCAAAAGAAACAATCATTAGAGTGAACTGGCAACCAACAGAATGGGAAAAAAATTTTGCAATCTACCAATCTGACAAAAGGCTACTATCCAGAATCTATAAAAAACTAAAGCAGATTTATAAGAAAAAAAACAAACCAATTCAAAAGTGGGAAAAGGATATGAACAGACACTTTTCAAAAGAAGACATTTATGAGGCCAAGAAACATATGAAAAACTGCTCATCATCACTGATCATTAGAGAAATGCAAATCAAAACCACATTGAGATACCATCTCACGCCAGTTAGAATGGTGATCATTAAAAAATCTGGAGACAACAGATGCTGGAGAGGATGTGGAGAAATAGGAACACTTTTACACTGTTGGTGGGAGTGTAAAGTAGTTCAACCATTGTGGAAGACAGTGTGGCAATTCCTCAAGGATCTAGAAATACCATTTGACCCAGCAATCCCATTACTGGGTATATACCCAAAGTATTATAAATCGTTCTATTATAAAGACACATGAACATGTATGTTCATTGTGGCACTGTTTACAATAGCAAAGACCTGGAACTAACCCAAATGCCCATTGATGATAGACTGGACAAAGAAAATGTGGCACATATACACCATGGAATACTATGCAGCCATAAAAAAGGATGAGTTCATGTCCTTTGTAGGGACATGGATGAATCTGGAAACCATCATTCTCAGCAAACTAACACAAGAACAGAAAACCAAACACCACATGTTCTCACTTATAGGCGGGTGTTGAACAATAAGAATACATGGGCACAGGGAGGGGAACATCACACACTCAGATCTGTTGGGGGGTGGGGGGCTCGGGGAGGAACAGTGGGGCATGGGAAGGTTGGAGAGGGATAACATGCGGATAAATTCCTGATGTAGGTGACGGGGGGATGGAGACAGACCATGGCATGTGTGTACCTATGCAACAATACTGCAAGATCTGCACATGTACCCCAGAACTTAAAGTACAATTAAAAAAAAAAAAAACAGAACAGAACTGACCTGCACAAATAGTGCTTAGATCCCTGAGGCACCTCTGCAAAATTCCAGGGCTCCTGGGAACCTTTGAGACTCACTGTCCCAGCCTTCCCCTGCCTTTTGTACACAAGGATGCTGGACTCCCAAGCAAGAAAAGCCTGGAAGGCACCCAGGGCTGTCCTTGGTCTGCTTCCTGTCGGTCCCCAAAACAGCCTGTGCTCCAAGAACCTGGAGCTCCCCACATTCCCCGATGTGTCCTACACCCCAGGCTTCCATCTCTCACTCCAACTCCAAAACTTGGTCAGGCATCAGTTCCTGCAGGAAAGCTTCCCTCACACCTCCATCCTGCCCTTACCCGTGGGTGGTGGTAGGTCAAAGCCAAAGCCAGCACCCGTGGAATAGCACCTAAACCTTACAGCCTAGGTAGGTGGGACCCAGCCTTTAACTGGGAACCAGAGGCACAACGTGAAGAAGGGCCTGGGGGAATTGCACCTGGATCTGACTTCAGAGTGAAACAAAAGCCAAAGATGGGTCTTATCCAGCAGACACCCAAGTGGCCTCTGGTTGTAATTTAAAGTCAACAAAAACAGGCCAGGCACAGTGGCTCCAGCCTATAATCCCAGCACTTTGGGAGGCCAAGGCGGGCAGATCACTTGCGGTCAGGAGTTCCAGACCAGCCTGGCCAACACGGCAAAACCCCATCTCTCCTAAAAATACGAAAATCAGCCGGGAAGGTTGACAGGCGCCTGTAAATCCCAGTTAGTGGAGAGGCTGAGGCAGGAGAATCATTTGAACTCAAGAGGTGGAGGTTGCAGTGGGCTGAGATCATGCCACTGCACTCCAGCCTGGGTGACAGAGCAAGACTCCATCTCAAAGATAGAAAAATAAATAAATATCAACAACAACAAAACAAATCAAGAAAATGTCCTAGTTTCTATACATAAGGCCCCTCCTGCTCCTTTCCCTGGCATTAGGGCCCAGAGGATCCCCCCACCCCTGCCTCCCCAGGACTTCTGAAACCCCCTTCATCTGGTCTCCCAACTTTCTCCCAGGACACCCACCCTCCAGCCGCAAGAACTGGCATGCCCCCCGCCCCCGGCCCCCGTGTCATCACTGTCTGTTTCTGTGTCTCCCCTCCCCCCCGAGCGGGGGCTGGTCCCTGTCCCCGCGGTGTCTCGCGCCGCGAGCGCTGCAGGAGGGGGCGCTGGGGCCCAGGGCCCGTGCGCACCCGAAGGTTTCCGCGGGGCCGCAGCGCCCTCTGCCGGGCTTGCCGCGCACTCACCGGGGTGGGGGCATTCACCACCGACAGGTTGTAGCCGTAGAGGAAGGAGGAGCCGAAGGCGCCGGCGAGGGAGGCCACGAGGAGCGAGCAGGACCAGTCCTGGGGGAGAGGAAAGCGCGTCAGAGGCGGCACCGGGCGAGCTGCCAGGGCAGAGGGACGGCCTGGGAAGGCCTCCCCTCCTCAGCTGGGGCAGGCCTTCCCGGGGAGAAGTCATTGTCCTTGGCCGGGCTAGAGACGGAGGGAAAGGACGCTAGTTGGGGACCTGCGGACAGGGCTCTCGTTCCGGTCCGCGTGCGCAGGCCGGGAGTCCTTGGGTCCAGCGGCCACGCCCTTGCCTTCCTCCCAGGTTCAGTGAGGATCCCCGAAACGCAGACCTAACGTTTTCAGCAGGTGCTCTGAGCAGTTCCACAGGATCGTTTTAGCTGAATTTGGTGAGTGTCTGACCTGGACAGAAAAAAGCAAAGCCAGACTCCAAGCACTGTCAGCCAGGCGCGATTCTAAGCACTTTCTGCACACTGCCTCTGAGTCCTGTGCTGAGATCCGTGCTGTTTTATCCTGTATTACAGACGAGGAAAGAGGGGCCTGAAACCGTGGCCGGTGGTATCTGGGTTGGGGACTGGAGTCCAGGTGGCCTGGCTGCAGTGCCCCTGTAGTCACCACTGCACTGCACCGCCTGTCCCCTGCTGACTCGTCACCTGAGTGCGGTGTCCAGGGGCCTGAGGCTGCCGACAGCCACACAGATGTGCGCGCATGCACATAATTCCAGGCTGAGGCATCAATCTACAGGGGCTGGTCCAAGCCTGGGGACAAGGACCTGCAAACAGATGCAAGGTTTGGCACAGAGAACAGGGCGTCGGCCCTGGCGTTGTCCTGCCCATCTAAGGATGGCCACCACCAGAACAGGGCCACAGGACAGAAACCCCTGAGCCCCTGGCAAAGGCTGACCAGCTGGCATGAGCCAGGGCAGGAGGGACGGCCATCCTTAGCCGGGCAGGAAATATGGGTCAAGTGGACGGGGACCAGGTGCTCCAGCAGGCACTTTCTTTGCCATCATCTGACAAATTTGTGAATGTGTTGTCTGTTTTGCAGAGGCCAGGCCCTGACAAAGCTGTGGGCATGCAGCAGTGAACAAGACAGACAGGTCCATGGTTCAGGAACCTGAATCAGTCAAATCCCATCTGCAAGGGACACGGGTCTCTGATAGCCAGCTCCCTGCTCTGCCCATCTCATGTGTCTCCTCTAGTGCCACCAGCCATGAGATAGAGCGTTGGGGCTTTGAGTCAAGTGATATCAGCTTTACCTCCAGGGACGGCCCCACCACTCAGCTGTAGGAGCCTGAGCAAGTGACTTGCTTTTCTGAGGCTCAGCTTGCCCACCTGTGAAATGGGATCTCAACAGCAGCACTGGACGCGTATGTTGTTGAGGAGCCTGCTGCAGAGGAGGTGCTTGGTAGAGGCTGCTGATCACATAGAGGGGTGAGAGGGAGCGTTTGTCAGCCTTGGGGATGGGTGCTGCCAAGTGAAATATGGGACCAGAGTATTTTTCTGCTGTAAGAGGAGCTTGAGCTGAATGGGGATCCCCAATGGAACAGAATCACATTTCAGACAAAACACCTGTTCTCCATCACCCTTTCTCTTTAAACCTGTGCTCTGAGTCTCGGCACAGATTCCGCCTCTTCTGAGTGCCTGGGCCGCACTGGGCATTGTTTCTGTGCACTGTGCCTTTTTTGCTCCCAGCCCTGATGACCTTAGAGGACACAGACTCCTCCCTCATCTGCACCCCATGGATTGGGAGCACTGGGTGTGAAGACCCTGCCAGAGGCTGGTGAAGGGCAGGTGGGGGGCGTCTCCTCCTGCCTCAGCTGTGCTCCCCAGAGTCCCCTGCCCGTGTGGCCCACCTGTGCCCTCCACCTGCTCCCCACTCACTGCAGGGGCAGAGGGTGCCCACTGACCATGGTGCCGCTGCCTGTGCCATGCCCTGGGGAGGGTAAGAAGAGGGGCACCACTGTGCAGGTTCGGGACAGGGCAGTGTTCCACCATGGCCTCGTTTCATGTACACACCCAGCCTACCAGATATACTGTCAGCTGGGGCCTGGAGAGCGTATGCCAAAGTCACACAGCTGGGGAAGTGCCACTCAAACTGGGCCCTCCCTGCCTCAAAGCCCCAGACCTCCCAGCCACATGCTGCCAGGCTGGGGTTGAGTGCTGTCGCACGGCTGCCACCCCCGCCTGCCCTCCCCTAGCCCTCCAGCCATGCAGAGCCGGTGTCCGTATTTACCTTTCTTCTCCTCCCACCTGGCACCCCGCTCCTCAGGTGGTCACACTCTGGCAGCGCCCTCCCTGGCCCTGGAGTCCCAGCATGGCTGGTGTCGTCTGTGAGGGAAACTAGGCCCAGTTCCTTGGAATTCATGTTTTGTTTCCTTGGCACGGGTCTTGGTGACCCAGCTGATAGCTCGGCCCAGGGACCCCGGACTCTGCCAAGACATCTCCGTGAATAAGGAGGCAGAGTCCACAGGAAGAAGGGCGGGAGTTTCCGACAGGAAGTGTGGCAAGTTGATCATGCCTGAACAGGAAATGGGGCAACATTTTTTTCCCTGCTCCTAAGTTGTTAACAGCAACGAAAGAGTCCAAAAGGGGAAGTCTGTCCTCTCCTGGATCACCACCAGGGGGCGGATTTTTTTTTTCTCAACATCTTTTTATTTTTCTCTCTTAACAAGGCCTGGAGCAGGGTGACTGCCCTTATCCTAGGTTACCTCCCTAATGCTTGGGACAGAATGGGGAGGTGGCTGATGTTGATTCAGAAGCCTGGGTAGGGCTGTACCCCTGACTCCTCCACTTTTTAACTGTGTGTCCTCAGGCAGGTCACTTTGTTCTCTGAGCTGCCACTTCTACCACTGCAAAATGGAAGATTGACCCCACTCTGATTGTCCTGCAGAATTATTCGGAACCTCAAATAGAAAACACTCAGCCCCAAGCGGCATGCTGGAAATGAGCGCAGGCTATCCCACAGCCTAGAACAAAGGCAAGGGCTGTGGGTTTGCAAGAAAAAGAATTCGCCTCTTGGTGTCATTACTCTCTCCTGCTCATTCACCATTGTCTGAGGGGACACGTCCTGTGTGCCAGCCCCAGGCTGGCTCCAGGGCCGCACTGAGAAGGCACCAGGGCGTTGTGAGAACCAATTCATTGCATGGCCACGCTGCCTCAGATATCAGAGAAGCACCTTCACTTTTGGCTAGGACAGTTTGCTCCCAGAATCAGAGAGCGGAGCAGAGGCTGGGCCAGAGCCAGGGACAGGCTTGGGGAATGTAGGATGCCCAGGAGGCAAGGTAGGGTTCAGTCTACAAAACAGAGACTGAGAAGCCAGCAAAGGAGGTTTAGTTAAAAGCACACACTAAAGTAAAAGGTGTGGAGTACGGCAGACATGCCGGGAGCCTGGAATGTGAAATGCACCCTGAAACATCCATCCTGGACATGCGCGGTGGTGGGAATGTGGCCGCTCAAGGCAAGTGGGGAACCAAGATGTCCCAAAAGGAAAACCACCCCTCAGGAGTTAGGCTGGGGTGTATTGAGCGCATCCGTTATTCAGTGCAGTTGTCCTTCTGCATATTGATGAGTCAGGCACGTCCCTGGGAGAAGTGGCTATTACTTGAACTGGATTTCAGCCATGCAGCCTGGTTTCCTCACTGAGTGGTGGGCCTAGAATGGCATTCTGATGTGCAAATCCTCGATTATAACATGACCTGAAACAGTGGAGGATTTCCCAGGACAGCATGAGGGAGGCACCACACCAATCTCAGCTGACCCCCTGGAAGAGGCGGCTTCTGAGCAGAACGAGAAGGATATGGGGTGAGAGGGCAAGGAACCAGGGCCTGCAGGCACAGATGCCTGCTGTGTGGGGGAGCGACCCTGTCAGTGGGGCATGTTTGGTGCCTGAAGTGCAGGACGTGGGCAGAGGAGGGGCAGGGGCAGCCCCATCCCTGGGCATGGAGGGCCCGTCCGCCCCTGTGCCATCCTGATGGGGACTGCATTTTCATCATCTCATTTCCTCCTCCTCATCCCATTGCTGTGACTCCCTTCTCTGCACCCTCCCTGTTTCCTCATCTGTAACAGCAGGGACCTCCCCAGATTTTGCTAAAGCTCAAATTGGATCAGGTGACCCCTCATCTCGTTAAAAATTGTTTCATAGTTCTCTGTTGGGATTGAAAACTCAAAAGGTGCCAGAAATTAGGCAGTCAATGCAAATATGTAACTACAGCTGGATAGAAAGTAAGAGGGAGGATGGGTCCCTCCCGAACATAGTGGCAGGTTAACCGGGGCTTCCGGTAGCCAAAGCACCTGCCTCACCTTCAGCTCATGCTACACGTGCACAGAGCTTTCCCAAGTGCGTTCACATTCATGATATCATCCAGTCCTCAGAGGAGCCATCAGACCTACATTTCGGGGCAACGGCTGAAGTTCAGGGGGAGCAGAGAGGAGCCTGCCTCCAAAGCTAGGGCCGGTTTCCCATTCCACACGGCCAGCAGCCCTGAGCTCCAGGCAACTGCAAAGGAAGCGACTCTTATCACAGATGAAGTCATAAGACAAACATCCCTGGGTGTTTGGGGCTGGGGCACATTCCGCCTGCTCTGACACTCACTGGTTTCTTCGCCTACTCATCCCTTGCCTGTCTTTATGGAGCTCCTACTCATTCAGGTCCTCCTGGCCTTGCTCAGGCCCTCCCAGAAGACTCCCCTGAACTGTGCTCACCCTTCAGCACTCAGCTGCCTCGCCACATCCTCCCAGCAGCCTCCCTGATCTCACACTGTCTCTGTGCTCTACGTGCTTCTGCTCACATGTGCCTTCCCCTATGCACAGGAGCTCACTGCGGGCAGGGACGGTGTGCATCTCAGTGGGCTGATTGCATTCCCCCAGATTCGCGACATGTTGAAGTCCTCACCCGCAGTATCTTACAGTGTGGCTGTGTTTGGAGATAGGGTTTTTGAAGAGGTAATAAGATTAAATGAGATCATATGCATGAAGCCGTAATTCAGTATGCCTGGTATCCTTATAAGAAGAGGAGATGAGGGGACACAGATGCACACAGAGGGATGACCACGTGAGGATGCAGGGAGAAGGCATGCAGGGAAAATGTCAGCAGCCAAGAAGGGAGGCTTCGGAAGGAACTAACCTGCTGACACTTTGAGCTTGGACTTCTGGCTTCCAAGACTGTGAGACAATACGTTTCTGTTGTTTAGGCTGCCCGGCCCGTGGGACATTGTCCCGGCAGCCCCAGGAAACTCACAGTATTCTATGCCTCTTTGTATTCCTAGCCTTCCTCCAGCCTGGCTCAGGGACGGGGTCCAGTAGCTAGGCATCACTTCTGGAACTGACCTGAAACTGTCCTCCAGATGATTTCCTAAGGCTAGAAAGTTGTCTTGGACAAGGTGGAAATTTTCTAGCAGGGAAGAGTTGGAAAAGAAGGGACATTTTCTATTGAATGTCATTTAAGCAGAATGTTTGAAATGACTACATCCCTTCCTCATTACACCAAATACCAAGACAGTTGATCCTTGACTCACCCAGTGTAAGCACCAAGAAAAGATATAGTGTCTACTTAGTGGGAATTGCTCTCTGTTGACATGATCCTTGTGTGGGGTCCTGGGTGATCTCAAGCAGGTGACTACACCCTTATCCTGCATTTTGCACCTCTGTGGAGATGATGTTCAGCTTGCCAATTTCACACTCTCGGTAACTTGCTAAATGGACTTGTGTTGATCTCTGTCACCAAATACAGGTGTGTTACAAATATAAATACATCTTCCCTGGAGTTGCTGTAGCTTCCACACTCTTCACAGGAGACGAGGCACAGATGGTTCAAGGTTTAAGACCAGCTCAAACCTGTGCTAGCCTCATAGCCTTGGATAAGTGGCTTCAGCTCTTTCTGACCCTCAGTTCTTTGCCTATAAAATGGGGCTAGTGATGCCTTCACCATGGTTTGATCCAGAGAGACCCATGTAAAGAGTTTCTTTTTAAATGGGAGCCCTATGTAAAGGTCCAGCACAGAGTAGGCACTCTCTGGCTGTGGGTTCTTAAATCAGGTTTAAAGAGAGGGCCTGATGCATCCCAAGAAGGAAGAAAGTCATTCTATTAAGAACTGCTGAGGAATTCCTGGAGGAAGGGGCAGGTGGACTAAGCCTTGTGATGGATTAGGGGGTGGGTTTTAGTGTATCTTTAAGGATGATGACATAATCATTGCCAACATCAATGTCCCTTGTTGAGAAATGATTTTTGTAATGGAGGCGTTTGCCCCAAGCCCAGAAAGTCACCAGCAGATCACGACTGTCCATTTCACTCTTCTAAGGCTCACCCCATACACTCTACAATCCCCATGGCCCCTTCCTATAGAACTTGACCTTTAGCTGCTGCTCAATCTTTTCTCTGCCCAGCTTCACCTTAACAGCCTCCCCCTGACCCAGGGGAAGGGACAACTACACCATGGGTGACCAGAATAGTCATCTAAGGGAGAGAGAAAAAAAAGAGGACTAACCAATTTCTTTTTCGCTGAATCACTTTCCTTGTCTTCTCCTCGGTCCTTTTCATGGAGCTTCATGGTTCACTTTTCAGGTTTTTAACTTTTGTTGTTGTTATTGTTTCTGAGAAAGAGAAAAAGAAAGAAGCCACTAGACATTGGACAGCTGCTGTCTCACATGTGCAAGTCAGGGGAGGTGGCTTGGAGCAGCCTTCGAAAGGTTTGCTGTGAGGGGCTCTGGCTGGGATGCCAGGATGGGACACTCAGCATCCTTGATTGAACCCCAGGTACCCCGGAGACCTGGGTACCTCCCTGCTCTCCTCTGGCCTCAGTTTCTCTATTTTTTTTAAGTGTAGGGCTTTCCACACTTGCCTTGTTGCTTATTAAATACAGGCTGCTTTCTGGAATATTTTCATTCAGATGGTAATTCTTATGATGAGGCATGTTTTGAAAACACTAGGCTGGCTGTCTCCAAGATGTAAAAATAAAATCAGTGCAAATTAAAACAAAGTGCCAATCTCACCTGTCAAATTGGAAACAGTTACGAAAATCATGCCCTGAATCACTGGCATGACAGAAGTAGAAAATTGCATAGCTTTTCTGGAGTTTGGAAATATGTTTCTAGAATCATAAAAATATTTCTTCCCGGCCGGGAGCGGTGGCTCAAGCCTGTAATCCCAGCACTTTGGGAGGCCGAGGCGGGTGGATCATGAGGTCAAGAGATCGAGACCATCCTGGTCAACACGGTGAAACCCCGTCTCTACTAAAAATACAAAAAATTAGCTGGGCATGGTGGTGCGTGCCTGTAATCCCAGCTACTCAGGAGGCTGAGGCAGGAGAATTGCCTGAACCCAGGAGGCGGAGGTTGCGGTGAGCCGAGATCGCGCCATTGCACTCCAGCCTGGGTAACAAGAGCAAAACTCCATCCCAAAAAAAAAAAAAAAAAAAAAATTTCTTCCCTTTGGCTCAACCACTATACTTATAAAAATGAAT